TCTCCACCTTGGGTCTGTAGAAGGGGCCCTGCTTCCTTTTCTTCCCCCCACTCATGCTAGGGGAAGCTGAGGTCTGCTCTGCAGCCAGTGGGTGATCCAGGTCTGCGGTGGCTTTGGCCTTGTGCAGTAAAGAACTGAATAGGGCCAGAGGGAATAGGCCTGTGAAACTAGATGCCTCTGGGGCTGGGGCCTCCTCATCATCTGAAAACCCCACATCCTTCTGCATCTCCCCCTCAGATTCTGAGCCCTCACTGGCAGTGGAGGGTGAGGATTCCCTGTTGTCCCTGGACGCTGAGACCTCAGGATGGGCTGTGTGCTCTCGTGGGTTCCCCTGAGTAGACCAGTGCCCGGCTCCCTGGAACTGGTGCTGCATGCCCAAAAAGATGCCATCTGCGATGGCCTTGGCTAGCACAAGCTGGAAACTCTCAGGGAGCTCTAGATAGGCCAGGGAAAGGATAGGGGGCTCCCTATTGTGCCTGGATCCAGAGGATGGGGGTGCCATCTGCATTCTGGGTGGCTCAGCCCTGCCCCCAAAGGGATCCCCTCTCTCTCTTGGCAGGTGACAAGGGGGGAGACAAAGGGCTACCCTCCCTGGGCCTGGAGAACCAGGATCCTCAGCTAGGGGAGGGGGCCTGGGAGGAGAATGTGACCTGGCTGGGGAGGGGTTGATGGTATCACTATTCCTCCTCTCTGCCGCTCTGGTTAGGGGGGCCTCCTGCCTGAGCCTGTCCCTCCTGGATGACTTGGAGGAGCCCTTCCTCTGAAGCAATCTCCCCCTAGACCCAGGGCCTACCTCTCGAGAGGTTCCCTCTCCTGGGTCTGCACCCCCTGGAGAGCTTGGGGCAGCCGCTCCCTTGCTCCAGGTGGCCTCCGCCATCGCAGTACTCATGATTAGGTGTTTTCTCACTCTCTCTCTACCTACTCTCTCTCAGCAGTGGTCTCTCTGCTCATGGATCCGGCACTCCTTCGGATTCGCTGAGTTCTTCCTCACCCGCCGATCTGCGGGCCAAAAGAGACCTGGGCACCGATCTGGGCTAAAATCTCCCTGGATCGCTGGCAGAGTTGGGGCCCAAATAAGTTTTCTTCCCCTTCTGCTGCT